TGCCAGGGTTTTTTAGCTGCTGTTGGTGATGGCTGGGAGAGAGGCTGGAGTGGCCTCGGGACAGGTGTGGAGAGGGGACAGCAAAGAGCATCCTCTGGCAGGTACATGGAGGGAGCACAGATGGTGTAATGGGGGGAGGTGGAGCAGCAGCTCCAAACCCAGCACTGCCTGGGAAAGATGGAGCAGATTGGAGAGACAGGCACCCATCAGCATCACCTCTGATATCAGCAGAATAAACAGGCAGGGAGCAGTTTGTCCAGGAGCAGGGAGAGGCTGCAGGGCTCTGCCCACACTGGCACCACCATGCCTGGCAGAAATGCTCTTTCACAGAATCACAGGATGGCTTGGGTTGGAAGGGACCTTGAAGATCATCTTCCTGTGGTCCAGGGAGCAGCCAGCATGTGTGTCCTGAGTGCTCCTGTGTGTCCTGAGTGCTCCTGTGTGTCCTGAGTGCTCCTTCCCACCCGTTCCTCCTCCCAGAGCTCAGCTGGGACAGACACACAGACCCTCCTTGGCTGCCTGCTCACAGTGCTCTGTTCCTGGAGCTCCTCATCCTGGCCCTGGCCCTGTCCTGGCTCACAGCACAGATCCTGCCTCTAGCAGTGGGCAAAAGCTAAGGGAAAAACTGGGAAGACCAGAACTTGAAACTCACAGAGTGGTTTGGGTTGGAAGGGACCTCTAAGGGTCATGCAGTCCAATTCCCTGCCATGGGCAGGGACACCTCCCACTATCCCAGATTGTTCCAAGCCCTGTGAGCCTGGCCTGGAACACTTCCAGGGATGGGGCAGCCACAGCTTCTCTAGACAACTCGTGCCAGTGTTTTAACACCCTCATTGTAAAAAACTTCCTGCTAAATCTCACCATTTCCTCTAAAATGCCGAGTACTGACTTCTCCCATGGCAAGATTCCACCAGGCTCTGAAGGTCTCCTTGCTTACAGCACTAGTTTGGGGCTGGGCCTAGGGCTGGCAGCCTGCAACAAGCTGGGCTTGTTTTCCCAAGCTGGGACCCTTCTGGGATCACTGGGACATGTGTGGCCTGCACAACACACCAGTTCAGGATCCCACAGCCAGCTCCAGGCAAGCTCAGGGTCAGAACAGCAGTTAGTTGGGACAAATTGGAGCCCTTTGGCCAAGATGCTGGAGGTGTTTTCGCTGTTCCAGGGCTTAGACCTAACTTGGAACCTCTATGCCACATCCAGGCAGAACCTGTGACACCTGGAATGCTCCAATGGGAACATGGAGAAAGCCAGGATCACCAACAAGGTGGTTTTCCTCTGCAGCCTCCTCTATGCTGTGTCCATCTCCTGGAGAAACCTCTATCCATGCATGGGGTGAACCTTCCCCTTCCCAGCCCAGCCAAGGTGGGAAGGTTTGGTTGGAATAAACATCCTCCTTGCCAGCCCAGCCAAGGTGGGAAGGTTTGGCTGGGACAAATCTCGTTGCCAGCCTAGCCAAGATGGGAAGGTTTGGTTGGAATAAATCTCGTTGCCAGCCTAGCCAAGGTGGGAAGGTTTGGTTGGAATAAATCTTGTTGCCAGCCTAGCCAAGGTGGGAAGGTTTGGTTGGGATAAATCTCCATTTTGCCAGCCCAGCCAAGGTGGGAAGGTTTGGCTGGGACAAATCTTCATTTTGCCAGCCCAACCAAGGTGGGTGGGAAGGTTTGGTTGGCCACGGAGCGAATCCCTCCAAGCGGAGCCGCGTGTTTTATCCCGATGATACAATAGAAAATGCCTCTGAAGTCCCGGCCCTCTGGAGCATTTCCTTAGCTCTCTGGAATTTCCGTTTAGTCCTTCCTCTCCCAGGCTCTTACCGAAAACCGATGTCACCACACGGCTCTGGAGAGCAGCCAGCTCCCGGGGTCCCTTCCCAGGTCTCCCACCACCGTGCCGGGGATTTGCAAGGAGCAAGCTCCTGGAGGGTGTCAGCTCTGTCGTGCCCCTTGATTAATCACCAAAGGCCACTCTGCCAATCAAGGAAAGATTTACAAGGCAGGCAGGAAGCTCTTGTTTTTACAGGAGTGCCTCAAACACACGCACACAGTAGGAAAAGCAAACATTCCAGGCATACCAAGGGATCCATGGGATAAAAATTCCCCAAACAGCCCAGATTAAGATACTTGGCTGCACATGGAAACACTAAAACCTGGGCTCAAGGATTTAATTGTCTTATTTAGCAGTGAGATGTGGAACAACCTGAGTGGCCTGGGAACAGCCACCCCAGGGGGCAGGGAGAGGGTCAGTGGCGCTGCCCTCTTTACAATAAAGGTCAGGGCTGGCCCCCACCCCTCTCCCAGCTCCATATGGTCACCAGAGCCTTGTGGCAGAGTTTAATGTGAGTTTTCCTTTGGAAAGGCTCAGCCTCGCTCCTGGGTGAGTCAGGCAGGGTCGCTCTGAATCCATGGAATTCTGAATCCCAGCCCAGGGGAGCAGAGGGAGCCTCTGCTCCAGCTCCAGCCCCGGGCTCAGAGAGGTGCTCACTGTGCTGTGTCCATGCTTCCCAGCTCCCATCCTGCCTTGAAGGCTCTGGAGAGAGTGGGAACACTGCCATCTTCTCCAGTCCCATGTCCCAGCCCAGGAGAAGCCACAACTTTGCTGTCTGACAGTGGCAGTTTGGTTTATGGATTTGAGACGGACCATGAGAAAGGCAGGAGGGAACTGCTATCCCTGGAAGTGTCCAAGGCCAGGCTGGATGGGGCTCTGGACAGTCTCTTCTGGGGGATGGTGTCCTATTCCTGCAGGGTGAGAAAGCAAGAGGGCCGAGGAGTTGTCGTGAGCTGGAAATATCCTCCGTCTGAAAGGGTTGGGGGCTGTGAAAAGGCTCCTGTCTCATCTTTCTGCAAACCACACCACAGAGAGTGGAACTGGACCTCACCTGTTACAAATGGTTTGTCCACTTCTGCTCCAAATCCAGCTGCAGTGGCTTGTCCCAGCAGGATGGTCTGTCTTACACTCATGGATGGTTTCTGGAAGAGCAGAGGGACTGACAGGGAAATAAATCACCTGGTGAAAGTGAGAGTTAAAGGGGAGCCTGTGCTTGAGCTGACAGAATCCTGGAATGGTTGGGGTTAGAAGAGACCTTAAAGCCCATCCAGCTTCACCCCCTGCCATGGGCAGGGACACCTTCCACTATCCCAGGTTGCTCCAAGCCCCATCCAACCTGGCCTTGGACACTTCCAGGGATCCAGGGGCAGCCACAAGTTCCCCAGGCAAGCTGTTCATTATCCCGAAGTGCAGCCCATGCACAGGCACAAGTGGAGCTGCCTGCCCCAAAATCTCACCCCAGTCCCCCTCCTGCAGCCCAAGCTTTCCCAGAGTTCCCCATGGCCATGGGGATGCTTCATGGATACAGATGTGGGATCTTGGCTTGCATGATTGAGGGTTTGCACAGCACAGCACAGCACATCATATCATTCCTGCAAGCAGCTCCTTGTGCTCCTCCTCTCTTTCCCCTGCTCATCACCAGCAGCAGTCCAGGACCTTCCAACAGCCAGCTCATGGCTGGGACGTGGGTGCAGCCTTCAGGAGCTGGTTTTGTCCCAGTAAACAGTGGCTTTAATGTGGATGGTTTCAGCATTCTCTGAACACTGCCAGTGTTGTTTTGAGTGTGCAGCCCTTTCCCAGAAGCCAGCACCTTCCCCTTCCAGGGCTTTTCCAAGTGCTCTGATGCTTCCAGCTTGGCAACTCCCATGTGAAGTCACTGGAGAAGCCATCCCGAGGGAGATGAGCACTGCACACCACCCAGGGACCCAGCAGCTGCTGGTGAAACAGGATAAAGAGTGGTGGGTCTGGAAGGAAGGTCAAGGATAATCCCTTGCTTGCACTGTAGAGGGTCAGGGATAAACTCCCTGGAGACGTGGTATCAGGAGAGACATTGCTGTCACCCATTGCTGGGCAGGCTGGAGGACTCTGTCTTCACACCAGGAGAATTCCCAAGGGCTCCCAAGTTCAGAGTGGAGATGCATTCAGGCTCATCCAGGAGATCTCTGGCACCAGGCTGCTCATCCTGGGCATCTTCTGCCTCCTGGCTGGGAGGTCCTGGGAGTGGCAGGTGGGGAAATACTAGGGCAGGTGGAACTTCCCATCCTGTCCTCACAATGGGGTTAGGAAACCTACCCAGGCTGCTTCAGCTGCCCTCTGTCCTGCCTTGCCTTTCTTTACTTTACCTTCTCATTCTTTCCCTTGTTTTCCACTCTCTTACCTTGCCATGCCTCCCAGCCCTCCCCTTTCCCTTGTTTTCCCTCACCATGCCTTCATTTCTCATCCCTTGCTTTGCCTTCCCACTGCTTCCTTTTCCTCCTCTTCTTAACCTTCCCATCCCTTCCCTTCTTTTCCTTACTTCCAATCCCTTCCCCTTCCCTCCCCTCCATCCAGGTTAACCACCTGCCCTGCAGGCACAGCTGTTCCACTCCTGCACTCATGTAAAATAAAGGTATTTAAATGGCTTTATATCACTAAAATCACCTGTGTGCCTAGAACCGCCCATCATTTCCCAAATTAACTCCTCAGTGGAATTACTTTGTTATCCCAATAATTTGAAACACCAGGTACTGGAGCCCCACTGCTGTCACATGGAACCTGCACTGAAGGTAGAGACGCTTTGAGCAATGCATAAATAATGAGCCATCATTAATAATTATTTATGGAAATTATCTGCTCTCCTTCTGTTGTGGGAGATGGGACAGATGTGATCCAGGTCTGTTTAGCTGGGAACAGCCAGGAACTGGATTTTGGTTTGCGTGCATCAAATATCATCACTTTGAGTCACGACACGTCAGTGCTCTGAGCAAGATGCTCAGGGGCAGAATAAGGATGAAGTCATGGAGGGAACCAGCAGCTGCAAAAATACAGGGATTGGGAAATGCAGCCGACGTCAAACTGCTCTGGGAAGGCATGGCAGGAGTTACAACACAGACGCTCGTTGTGTTTCTTGGGGGGGAATAAAGAAGGGGAAACTTTTGCTGCATGGAAAGCAATACAAGAAGAAAGTTTGCTCAGTCTGGTGGCATTATTTTAATTAAAGTTTAATTTATTCACGTATTTTGTTATTGATGTTTCAGAGATCGTGATAGTCTGCATATCAACACTGTGGAAGAGAGAACCAGCTCACGTAATTCCACATTAGTTATCCTGTGTTTGGGATCAACTCTTCCAGCTGCACAGCTTACGGGGACTTGGATGTGCAGCGATCGCTCCCACCCCACGGACACAGTCCCCAGCTCACGAAAATCCAACCACAGGCGTTACAAATCATTTGGCAGCCCGAAAATCCTTCTCCTTCTGTCCCGGCAGGATGAAGAAGGGATTGACGGGCGGCTCTGCAGGTCCTGCGTGGGGCTGCCGTGCCCTCTGCTGGGCTCTGCATCCAGGCTCAGCTTCCTTCCTTGAGGCCTGAAACCTGGAAATTAAACTGCTAAAATAACCAGGAAGGTCGTTTTAATTAAAGCAGACCCCACACTCCTTACATTCCCTGCGGGATCTCCGGCTGGCGAAGCTGCCCAAAGCGCTTTAATCTGCCCGTTTTCCTCCCCGCTTTCCTTCAAACATCCTTTGCGCTCCTGAGCAAAACGCTGGAGCCAGCTTGGAGCGAGCAGCTGGGAAGCAACAGGAAAAGCATTAAAAACCCCTTTTGCCACCGAAATTCGGGAATAAAACTCCTAAACACCAGCGCAGTATTAAGGAGCTGGCTCAAGTTGCTACACGTGTTAACATATTCCCAGGCAATTTGTTACTTTAGGACCCCTGAATTGGGTTGGGCTCACAAAAAAAGGTTTATTCTGCGGGCCGGAGGACGCATTTAGCGGCGGGGTGATTGATACCCGGGGCTCCGGGAGCGGGACGCGAGCCCCGCGGCGCCGCCCGCGCCTCGCGGTGGAAGCCTCGGCTCGAGCCCCGCGGCCGGTCGCGGTTCGGTCGCGGTTCGGTCGCGGTTCAGTCGCGGTTCGGTCGCGGTTCGGTCGCGACAGCAGCAGGCGAGCGCGATGCGGAGAAGCAGAAATCTCCGACCAGAGCCCAGCGCGGCTCGGTGAGCGCCGGGGAAAGGGATTCATGCAGCGGGGGCACTAGAGGGAGGGCGGGGAGACACAGGGGCCAGTCCCTGCTTTTCCTGGGATGCCGGGGGTTCTGCCCCCCGGAGTCTCGGGAAAGCACCAGAACCCCAGGAAAGTACCAGAACCCCAGGAAATGCCCAGCAAGCTCATCATGCCAGGTGCCCCCACCAAAGCCCAGCGACCGAGCCCTGGAGTAGGGAAAGCTGACTCTGTGCGAGCGCAAAACTCCCTGACCCCCCAAGGGGACAAAGTTCCTGACTCTTGGAGTCGGGAAAGCCCCTGACCCCTCAAGGGGACAAAGTTCCTGACTCTTGGAGTCGGGAAACCTCCGAGACGGCAAAACCTCCTGACTCTAGGAGAGGACAAAGCTCCTGACCCCGCCGTGCCAGCGCTGTTGGGGGGGGCTGGGGCAGAGAAAAGGTGACAGGAGCAGGACAGGCAGAAATAGCCCAAATTTTGGACTGGCAGTGTTGCCAAATGCACGCGCGCATCGTTCTGCCCGGCGAGCGCGGGGCTGGGGGCGGGGCGAGCGGGCTGGGGGCGGGGCGAGCGGGTCTGGGGGCGGGGCCACCCGGGGTATGGGCGGGGCCACCCGGGGTATGGGCGGGGCGTGTTCGGCCGTGGGCGGAGCCGGACGGGGCGGGGCGTGTGCGGCTGTGGGCGGGTCCCGGTGCCGCGGGCGGGTCCCTCAGGCAGTGGGCGGCTCTATCAGGGCAGCGGGCCGGTCCCTCGGAGCCGCGGGCGGGTCCCTCGGAGCCGCGGGCCGGTCCCTCGGAGCCGCGGGCGGGTCCCTCGGAGCCGCGGGCGGGTCCCTCGGGCTGAGGGCGGGTCCCTCGGACTGAGGGCGGGTCCCTCGGAGCCGCGGGCGGGTCCCCCGGGCTGAGGGCGGGTCCGTCGGGCTGAGGGCCGGTCCCTCGGGCTGCGGGCGGGTCCCTCAGGGCAGTGGGCCGGTCCCTCGGGCTGAGGGCGGGTCCCTCGGGCTGAGGGCGGGTCCATCAAGGCTGAGGGCGGGTCCCTCAGGCATTGGGCGGCTCTATTAGGGCAGCGGGCGGGTCCCTCGGACTGAGGGCGGGTCCCTCGGAGCCGCGGGCGGGTCCCGCGGGCTGAGGGCGGTCCCGCGGTGCCGCCGTTGCGGCGCGGGGCGGGTCGCGCTGCCGGAAGTGCGCGCGGTCCATGTACCAATGGCTGCTCGCGGTCCTCCGCGCCCTCCGCGATGCCGCCCGCCAGGCCCCGGCCCCGGCCCTCACCCTCAGCCCGGAGCCGCCGCCCCGAAAGAAACCGCCCCCCAGGTCAGCCCTGCCCGCCAGGTCAGCCCCGCCCGGCCGCCGTGTGGGTGTGGGAAATGCCCGATGAGCGCCGGGTGCTGCCCGCAGCTGCGGCGGTGACTGCGGGGCCCGGATAGCGCTGGCCGATGCGCGGGGCCCGCTGGCTGCCGCCCACAGGTGCTCCCATTCAGCCCTGTTGGGCTGCTCGGGGCGGGATCGGGGGGAGCAGGTGCCGGGGCAGCAGCAGGGCACACGCAGCCCTGGGGACAGCTGGCTGAAGGACGCCACGCACCGTGGATAGGAGCAGGATGCCGCCCCAGGCGCTAGCCGTGCTGCTGGCGGTGGTGATGGAGCGGCTCGGTGCCGGCCGCTCGGGATGTACGGGTGCAGGCTCCGCTGTCCCATGGAGGAGTGGTCCTCACTAAGGAGCAGCTCGGAAGGAATTGGCTCTTCCCAACCCAACTCTTCTTGGGTTGGGAATAAAAATAGGAACGTTCTTTGCGCTCTGTTCCTAAAGGAGACGTTTTCACCGGACTTAACAACTGATAAAAATCCTTGCGTTTAGGCTTGTGGGAAGGGGTGAGGCTGGTAATTGTTTCAAGGATTTGTTCCCGAGCTGACTCGGCAGGAAGCTGCTGGAGTGGATGTATGCAGCACTGGCATTCTCACCTCGCATTTCCTGTTCTGCCTAAACTTTCCTTTGCAGCTCAGGGTAGTGACATGGACTTGGATGGCTTTGTGACCTCTGGAATGCTTCTTTCCTGGAGGAAAGAGGACAGCATTGCCTATTAAGGCACTTTTTGGTGATAGGAACAAATGCAGAGCACGAAGAAGAGGCCTGATCTGCTTTAGTGGGACGATCAGCCCTCTGAGAGATGATCCTTTGGAAGTTTGGGCCTGCTGGAAGCTGAATTGTGCTTGCAAACATGGTTCTGTCTGTTCTTCCCTCAGTGTTCTGTCACCTGTGGAAGGTCCTGAGGAGATCCCTGCAAAGAGGCTGAAAACAGGTATTGCCCCTCAGAGAGGTTTAATATGTCTTGTTTTCCTTGGATTTGGGGTACCTTGGGGAACTCTGGGTTTGGCACTTCAGGATTGCTGCTGAAGCTGAGGATTTTTGAGCCACTCTTGTGGCTGGAGGGGGTCTCATGAGGCCTGGGCCTCTCGATGATGTGTGCCAGTGTTCATGGATGTGGCACTTGGGCACATGGGTGGCCTTGGCAGTGCTGTGGGAACAGTTGGATTTATGACCTTACAAGGTTTATCCAACCTTAATGATTCTCTGATTTTCAAACCAAGTGGAGGATGGGAGATCCTGGTCAGATGAAGGCAGGAACAGAAGCAGGGAGCAGCTTTTTCCATCCTGGAAGGGCCATGTATTTGCACCAAAGATAAATCCTGGCTGGAGCAGGGCATGGCATGTCCCAGCTCTCTCTGGCACTGAGCCCTGCAGGGCAGCACAAAGAGCATTTTGTAGCCAAGGCTGTTGCTGTTCCATGGGGGATGTGGAGCTTCCTAATTCCTTCTTGGGAACAAGATCCCCAGGGGTGGGGTGGGGGGTGCTGCTGGGCTGTTGCTGTGTTGTTGAAATGAGTTACCTGCTCCATGTGGGCTCAAGGAGCTGGGCTTGGGTGTAAGCAGAAATCCCAACCCCTGTTTCCAGTCCCATTCTTCATGAGCTGGTGGTGTGGTTTTTCCAGAATGTGTCTCTGGGGCTAACAAGGAGCCTGAAGAGGTTTCTGTGGCTGCCAAGTTGCCACCTAAGGCAACACGTAGAAGCCAGGAGACTCGAGAGAGAGATGACTTCTTCTCTGAGGCTGAAGATGAGGTGAGCAAGGGTTTTGATGGGAGCTCAGGGCAGCTCCCACAATCCCTGCAGGTGTTGGAGCCTGTGTTACAAAAGTGGTGCCATCAGTGCCCCTGCCTTCTGCTGCAACCCAAGCAAAACCATGGGCTCTGAGTCAGAACATAGCTGACTGGATTTCAGGAAAGGGAGGTGCTTGCTTGGATTCACATTCAGGTTATGCTCACTCTGGTATTTGCTTTTATTTCAGGTTGTGTCCATTTCTTCTGACTCTTCATTTGTAGCATCTGGAGAGGATGAGAACACAACAGAACCTGGTAGGGCTGACAGCAAGTCCTTCACTCATTCCTTTCTCCTGCTGCTCTGAGTCTGGGCAGCTCTGCCTAGGCTGGGGGCTGCTTGCTGAAGGCAAAATATCTGGGTAGCACCCAGGAATAGTGGAGAGTGAGCTCTGTTTCTTCCCTGTATCCTGGTATGGCTTCTGGATTGGAGGCAGGGCTAGGAACAGGCTCCCCAGGGAATGGGCACCGCCCCAAGGCTGCCAGAGCTCCAGGAGCATTTGGACAATGCTGTCAGGGATGCACCAGCCTGGATTGTTGGGGTGTCTGTGCAGGGCCAGGAGTTGGACTGGGTGATTCTGTGGATCTCTTCCAGCTGGGATATTCAGTGGTTTATCCCAGGATGCTCATGTGGTTGTGGATCCTAGATATTAACTGCCTTAGATGCAGTTCTAGTGTGTCCCACTGCTGGCTTGCCAGAAAGAAATTGGTGTAAATGTTGATTTTAGGCAGTAGAGCCTCAGAACTCTGTATATACTTAGGCTGGCAACATTCTGTAGTTGCCAATATGAAAATATCCTGAAGCATCATAACACAAATAATATTAGAACGTGAGGGATAAAATGGGAGTAATTTATCTTTGGTGAAGCTCTTTAAACTTGTATAACTCCTGTTTTCCTGACCACTTGCTGATGGCTTGTGCTCTTCTCCCACAGACAAAATGCCTTGTGACACCAACCCGTGCTTGGCTGAGGAAATACCATCCTCTCTTTGCAAAAGAGCTCCATATCTGAGGTAAAAATCCTTCTGTTTTTTTCACTTCTGCTTTGAAGGTTTTTTTTGGCCTTTCACTTTCATCCTTGAACTTCCTGTGTTGCCCAGCATTTGTGTTTGTGTCCACAGAGCAACATTCTTCCATGTCCTGGGACTCCTCCTGGCTGCCACACTGAGGGAGGTCTTCAGCTGTGTTCTTGCCTTTTTAAACCAGTTTTAAACTTTCTCTTTAAATCCAGATAGTTGGTAGACTCAGGAGATCAGAGAAGGATGAACAAGTTCAACACTCTCACCTCCTGTGGTAGGAGGAAGTGTTGAATTGGGAAGAGGCCGGGACCAGGAATGCAAACAGAAAAACCCACAACTACAAGGAAAAAAAATCCCCCAAAAACCCCAGAGAATTTCCATTTCCCCATTGGGAAATACTTTTATGTTTTTCCTGTGAGAGTGTTCAGTTACTGCCACAGGTCACCTAGAGAGGTTGTGCAGTCTATCCATGGAGATGTTGGAAAACTCTCCTGGACACAGTCCTGGGCAGCCTACTGTGCCTCCTTGAATCAGGAGGTGCTAATTAAAACCTAATTAATAAATCAGGAGCTTTGACTGTTCTCCTAATACCATTTCTTCTGCCTTTGGTGTTTTCAGCCTGGGCAGGAATAACCACATCCGAGCTGCTCCGGAGAGCCCTGTCACACCCAGGCCCCCCATTAAGGAGCCAGGTCCCAACTCTCCAGGAGTCAGTGGCACCAGGAGGCCGTTGTGTGCTGCTGAAGAGGTAAAGTGGGGAGAAGGGAATTCTTTTGGGATGAAACAGCTGTGGAGTTCCTGTGCAGTTGGGCTGAGGCAAAAGGAAGGGCTGGGAATGCCTGCTAAAGTCTCTTTTTTCCTTCCCTTCTGCAAGGATGTTCAGCAAGCAGAAAATAAGAAATACAAAGAAGTCTTGAGTCTGTTCAAGGAAAAATATTCTGGACGATTTACTTCTCCACGATCAGCAAGACTGAACAAGTAATTATGAGCAAAATAACCCTTAACTTTCTGGTGATGAGTTTGTTGTATGTGGAAGGGGAGGAGAATTGATCTTTCCTGCTCTCAGGGTTCTGGACAGAATCAAATGTAATGATTGAGTCTCTTTTGGAACAGTGGAGACAGAAAATTTGACTCTTGTATGTTCACTGGGCCTGAGCTGAAGGTGGCCAAACTTCTGGATGTAAACTCCTCAAAATGCCCTTTGCATCTTGTCATGGAACCAGTGACAGCATGGTTCTGTTAGTGATTAAACAGCCTAATTTTACTTTCTATATTTCTGTTGCTTTCATTTAGCCAGTTGTGTACAAATAGCCGTGTCCTCTGCAGTGAATTTAGGTGCACTGACAACAAATCACCTGTTAAAACTCTGTCCTTTTCTTCTGCTACACCAAAGAGTTCCAACCAAGGAGCCAGGGATGACTGGGAATCCCCTGAAAGAACAAAAACCCAGAGGTGCCTCTCCACCTGTGCCAGAAAGGACCAGTGAGTATCCCCAGCACCCAGGGCTGCTCCACTCTGTTGGTAGAAGTCCATCCCAAACAGGGTATTTTCCTCATTATTGGCTAAACTGGGTTTGTGAGGGTTTTACTGAAGGGGAAGAACTGATTTTAAATGGTATTTAGAGCTGTGGCAGTGCAGTTTGTAGCTGGATGTGACCCCCCCTGCACAGGAGAAGGTTGTAGTTCCTGTTTTACCTGGGGTTTTTTGTACCAGGGGAGGGGGATATTTGACTCTGACTCCTCAGAGCTGCACTTTCATCCCTTTTTAATGATAGACAGGACTATTTCTATAAAAACAAAGCTTCCAGAACAAGTAAGCTAATTACATGTATGTTTAATATTGTCTCAGGGTTTTTCCCTGCCTATTCATTACTTAAATACTTTTTCATCACTATTTCTTTTATATCTTAGACTTTGTAACATGATCATATGGGGATTGAAATGATTCCTGAGCAGGTGCCAGAGTTTGAACTTCTGAGTTGAAAATGCTGATGAAATATCTGCGGTGTCACCCAGAAACTGAGAGCTCTGTGCAGCTGCTGGAATAGGAAGTCACCTCCTTGTTCTCATATTGCTGCTTTTCCCTGCAGGTGTCAAGCATGGGGATGTTTTCAGCCCCCAGCTGCCTCAGAGAGGTGTCATGATCAGGTAAGAGTCTCTTCTAACCATGGCTCTTGTTTCTTTTGGCTCTGTCAGCCTCCAGAAGACCAGTCCTGTTCAGTGTCTCAGTGCTGAGGGAGAGGAACACCTGGTTTGAGGAATTGCTCACAGCCAGTTGTCCCTCAAATCCAGCTCCCCTGTCACAGCTGGGCAGCTGTGGGGTGTGCTAGGTTTTTTTTTGGGGGGGAGAAGGAAGTATGGGTGACAGCCCAAGTTGTTTCTGGGTTTGCAGAATCTGTTTTTGCTCCTAAGTGTCTTTTTGCCACACCATTAATCAGCTGACTTTGCATTTCCTGTGGCTCCTGAGCAAAAGGAGTAGGGAGCTTGTAAACCTGGGGGGACTGAGGCAGTTCTTGAGGCTTGCAGGATGCCTTGGGTTGGAATAGGAGACCAAAAGGGAGTGTTGCTGTCCCTCATCAGGGACCAGGGGACTCTGTGGTGGCAGGATGGGAGTGCAGGAGGCTCCTTGTGGAGGGAAAGGGGCTTTTGCTTGCAGCTCCAGGGAGGGATTTTGGTGTGGCAGCTTGGTGCCCTCCTCTTCCTCCTCTCAGACAAGAGAGGAGAGAGTGCAGATGGGGCAGAGAGAGGTTTGGTTGTGGCAGGTCTGATTTGGGGTGATTTTTTCCCCTGTTCTCTTTCTCCCTTAGACATGAGCACTGTGCATTTGTCCTGAGTTAAATTGTCACTGTCCCCTAAGCTCAAGGGAAGAGAAAAAATAACTAGTGGAGTGGCATTTGTCACCAGGAGATCACAAAGCACTTGATAGAGGAAGTGCTGGTTGCTTCTCTGCTTTCCAAAGATTAAAACTGAGAAACAAAAAGAGTTTGGCACCTGATGGTGGAAGAAAGTTTGTGAAGCTTCCAGCTCTTCATCTATCATGGTCTGGCTGCTACAAAAGGAGTGGGGAAGGAAACTGAGATGTTGTCATGTGTCAGAATCAGCCTTGAAAATGCATTTCTTGTCAGAAGGTGAATGTTGGAGAATTTCATGGGGCAGTGTGGATATCCAGCTCATTTCTCTTAATTTCTGACAGCTACTACACACCACCAGAAGAGTCTCGTGGACAGGGAAAAGGAGAGAAACGAGCTGCTTCAGTGGTAAGCTTCAGTTAGTCACTTTGTTTTCTGGAAAATATAACTCACCTCTGCTCAGGACTGAGATCCAAAATAAAATTTGAAGTGTGGAAATCAGAAATCCTTATTTGATCTCAGCTTGATTCGTGTGTGTGGAGGCTTTGCTGGGGGGCTGGATGTTAATCCAAGCCCAAGGAAAGCCCTGCCTTTCTAGGCACAGTTGGAATGCAGTCACCAATCAGATGTGACTTTGGGGATTGCTGCTGGGATGTGTTTACACAACCCCTTGTGTTTCTTGCAGAATTCTCTGCCCTGTCCCCCAGCAATCCCCTTGTGCTTGTCTGACTTCCTGTCTTTGTGCCTGGCAGGGCCAGCGTGAAGCCGAAGTCCCCCAGAGAAAGCTATTCCAGTTCCATGTGACACCTGTCCTGTCCAAAGACCTCTTTTTTGTGGACAGTGAGCCACTGCCATGCCCAGAAAAGCCAGGAGATGATCTGGCTCCACTGACAGAGGTACCTGTGCTCGGCAGCAAGCCAGTGCTGTGGCTGGTTCAGCAGAGGCCTGCAAGGCTCTTTGCTCTGGCACTGGAGCTGCACTTGGAGGCCTTCTGGGGGGCTGGTGTGCTCCATGTGCTGTTCCACGAGCCCTTCCCCACTGAATCCTTTGTTCCAGGCCATGGAGAGTGAGATCTCTGCTGCCTTTGACACTGGTGAGCCTGAGGACATCCTGAGCAGGGCCTTCAAGCTCGCTGTCACCCGTGAGGACATCTGCACCCTGCAGCCCCTGGGCTGGCTCAACGACAAGGTACGGGATCCTGCACTTCCTGGGAAATCCCCCCACTCCCTGGGCACAGCAATCTTCCAGGAGCTCCACTGCAGAGCCCAGAAATAGCTCTACACTCCTTATTTTGGGTACTGTGTGGGCTGGTGTTTCTGGAAGCTTTCACTTGGATGATGCAGCTCCTAGGAGTCAGTCTGGGTTATCAGAGTGGGTGTGGGGGCTTTAACCAGCAGCACAAGTCCCCCACTGTGAAATTTCTGGGAGCAAAAGCTGTCAAGTGAAGTTTTCTCAGCTTGAGGGTGGCCAGCAAGGACATGTTGCTGTCTTTTTAATTGAGTGTTTTATTTCACATCTCACTTTGCCTCTCTCTGTTCCAGATAATGAATTTCTACATGGGTCTTCTGGTGGAAAGAAGCAAGAAGGAAGGATATCCAGCAGTCTATGCTTTTAACACCTTCTTCTATTCCAAGCTAATCTCTACAAGCCACAAGGGAGTAAAGAAATGGACCAAAGGTGTGGATATCTTTGAGCACGATGTCATCTTGGTGCCTATTCACCTCAGAATTCACTGGACACTGCTGGTGAGTCAAACTGGCTTTTTATTTAGGGGATGGGGAGAACAAAACCAGCAAGCAAAGTCTTTTAGTGTTTGGGGTGTGCTTTGTCTGAGTCACCTTCTAACCCCAGGTTGTAGACCTCCGAGAGAAAGCCATCAAATACTTTGACTCCTTGGGACAGAAAGGAGACCACATTTGTAAAACTGTCTTGTGAGTAGCTGCTTTTTTATCTATTTTGGTTGTTTCTGAGGCCCTTTTCCCCTCCCCACGTGAAGTGTTTCTGCCCTGTCCCGTGGTGCTGCTCGCTTTGTGCCTCTTCTGTTCTGCTCAGTGTTTTAAATCCCACAGAGTGTCAGAGGTGCACGTTTTCACATGTGCTGAGCATCCTGACATGTCTTTGTCAGTAAAAACCCTTCATCCAGCAGCTTTGCAGGGTGAGAGCAGCCCCACAGAGACAAATCCCAGAATCACTGAGGTTAAAAAAGCCCTCCAGGATCATTGAGTCCATCCCATGACTGATCCTCACCTTGTCACCAGCTCAGAGCCATGTGCAGAGCCTTCCTGCCCTCCGCAGTCCCACCCAGCTTGGTGTCACCTACAAAGACACTGGGGGTGCCCAATCCCCTCGTCCAGGTCATGGATAAAGATATTACACAGGGCTGTGCCCTGGGGAGCCCTGCTCCCAGCCTCTCACTGTGTCTCTAAGATTGGGATTTCCCCTCCACATTCCTCAATTCCTCTGCTGTGAGGATCCTCTGGCATTTCACTGTGATTTATCTTCCTATCACCTTTCAACTACTTTGTTGTTGTTGTTGTTGCTCTAAATCAGGGAGATGGAAAGTGATTTTGATGTTGTTTTCAACAGAAAATACCTAGAAGAGGAAAGCAGGGAAAAAAGAAACATTGAATTGACTGCTTCTGAGTGGACCCTTCACAGCATGGGCACAGAGGTATGGGAGCAATGCCTGGATTTGGAATGGGAGCTAGAGCTCCTTGTCACACAGGATTTAACACTTCCCAGGCAAGCAGAGGGAGAGGATGTGCAGTTAACTGGGACTGTTAGGTTTGGGAGCAGTAAATGGATTATGGAAATAGGTCTTCAGGAGTAGTTGTGGGTAAAATGTGTACTACAACCAGATTGCTGCTCTTTCAAGACAGACAGACATTCTCCATGTTTTTGTATTCCTCAGGAAATCCCTCAACAAAGTAATGGAAATGACTGTGGAGTTTTTGTTTGCAAATTTGCTGATTTCATCTCCAGAGACAAGCCCATCATCTTCACCCCGGTGAGAGGGGTGTAAACAGCTCCAGCCTTTCCCACGCCCATGCGAGAGCCAGGGAAGCTGCACAGCAGCTGGGGCAGGGGCTGGGGGTTTGTTCCTCATGTCTGGTGTCTGCTTTCTGGGCAAGATCATGGATTCATGGAATGCCAGGGTGGTTTGGGTTGGAATGGACCTTAAAGACCATCTCATTCCAATGCCAGGATGCTGCAGCCTTTGTATCTCTTGGTGAAATAGGTTTTTCCCCCTTGGACCTACCTGCTCAGACCCTGGTTATTTTCCAATGTGGTGATCTTTAATAAATGTCCCTGTAAAGAAATGTGGGTGTTTGTTGGGTGGTTGTGTCACCCTGGTGTGAAACCCAGCAGATGATCTGGCTCTGCTGAAGGTGCTCAAAAGCAGCTTCCCACTCAAGAATTCCCTGGGTGTTAATGGAGACTTCCTGCCTCTTTCTCCCCTGGCTTCCTATGTGATGGATTTTTCCTGTTTCTTTTCAGGAACACATGCCTTATTTCCGCAGGAGTATGGTGTGGGAAATAATCCATCAGCAGCTGCTGGGAGACATGCACTGTTAAGAAAACACTGTTCTGTAAAAGAGTAGTATTTATTTCTTATTGGTTAGGTAAGATAAATATTAACTTATGTAAGAGCCTTATTGTATGAGAACGTTACTTGTTAACAGAGTAATTTATTTTTTAATTGAAAACTGATTTGTTGTCTCTGTGGTTTTTAATTTGCTACCCCATCTGAAGAGGAACAGGGGCTGTCTCCACTCCTGGTGGCTCTGGGGACATCCCTGTACTGCTCCTGACCCAAAAGATCCCTGCAGAAGGGGCTTTGTCTGTCTTTGCTTTCACTGATTGGTTCAATCTGCCAAAACCTAGGGGCAGATTCTCCAAAGGAGGAACAATTCCAGAGACACTCGTGTTTTATCCTTACAAATAATTGATCAGGGTTAATTAATCTTTTCTGAGGATGCAGAACAACTGAGCACGAGGATGCAGCAGCTGGGAGTGTTTGAGGTGTCCTTTCCCCTTCCCTTTGGTCCCTCCTGTTTGGGGCTGTAGTTTTGACTGTCCCAGGTGCCACCAGAGCAGCATTCCCAGTGCTGGAGGGGTGGGAGGGCTCATGGAGGGGGGTCCCTCACTGCAGCACCTGTCAGCATCCCAGGCAGCCCCACCTTGCCCCCAGGGCCAGCCCAGCCCCATTTGGTGCCTTTCCCCACTGGGTGTTCCATCCAGGGATGTGCAGGGAGGGAGAGGTGGCTTTGTGATGACAACATTTCCCCGGTCCCAGGGTAAATGCCTACAACCCCACATCCAGGCCTTCCCTCCCTGGCAGCAGGGAATTGGGCACCAGGGAGGAACTCCCAGCCGTGACCACCGAAAGGGACCCCAAAGAAAGCAACAGAAAGCAGGTCAGGCTCTGGTTAGCTGGATATATTTCTCTTTTTTGTTGGTGTCTCGGGTTGGTTTTCACAGAACACTTTGCAGTAGAGGAAAACACGGATTCGCAGCCCAGGGGAGCGGCGCTGGCACCAGCACCTCTGCTCCCATCCCTGCTCTTGCCTGTCGGCTTTCACCGCTTCCATCCATCACCTGGATTTGCTTAGACCCTTTTTTTAATTGTGTTTGGCTATTTTTATTTTTCCCTTTTTTTTTTTTTTTTTGTTTTTTTTAACCATTTCTCAAGCTTTCTCTGAAGGAACAGCCACTGGCTCTCTCGGCTTGCAGGAGACTACGGAAGAGCTCTGGGACACGGGGGTTGGTTTCCTTCTTCCACCTTGCAGCTGACTTGGTCGAGATCATTTTTCCAACTCGTTTTCTTTTTATTACAAAAATAAAAAAATGCTCCAACTATCAGTTTTACAAGGCATACAAAAATCTCTAAAAGGGCAGCACAAGCGCAAGGTGCTGAGGTACGAAAACCTGAGGTAGTTTTTCTGTGTGTGTGTGTGTGTGTCGGGAGGGTTATTTGGGTCATTTTTCATTTGAAGCCAATTTTGTTGGTTGGGTTTTCCAGCCCTGGGCCGACAACCTCTTGTAAATCCATTTTTTTCACCCATTTCCCCCTCCTCTCCCTGCAACAGGGCTCTTTCCCCAAAGATCCCAGTCCAAAGCGGGCAGGGCTGGTGCTGCCCATCATTTTCCAGGGACGTCAGTGCTGGGCAGTGATGGAGAGAGGACAGACAGACAGACAGAAAGGGGGCACAGAACGGATGCAAACCCCGCTTTTGGAGTCCAAAGCAAAGAGGAAAAGGTGTGTGAAGGAGAGGAACAATTCCTACATGAGGAATCTTCTTGGCTCCTACAGGCCCTGCTCTTCTCAAAGCCCTTCAGAAATTGCTTTTTAACACTTAATTAGTACTTTTTTCCCTGCTGGCAATCCTACAGCTCTGCTCTACGGTGCATTAGAGAACCAATGAACCAGCTCCTGCCATTAAACCTCTAGAAAAGCCTGCTTTTACTAAAAACAAACAGCCCCCTCCCCCAAAAAATTTTAAAAAGTGAGTTAAAAAATAAAACCTTACAAAACTTAAAAATCGCCGTTAGTTTCGTTATTGATATATTAATTCTAAATTAACGAGCGCCGCGGCCCACCCCCCGCCCCGAGGCTGGGCGAGCTCCTCCCGGGTGGAATGGGCAGGTGTGGGGAGAATTCCAAAATAAAAACCACCTGTCTCTGCCTGTGTTAGTCCAGCTGCCGGGGGAGGCGATGGAGTAAGGCGGAAGCTGCGGGATGGAGAGAGCCCCCCGTGCCCGGCTCTGCGCCGCCGGGGGGCTCGGGGCTCTTTGGTTGTGCCCTGCCCTGCTGGGGGTTACATTCCTCGGGCGGTGCTGCGGGAGCCTCACTTGCTGTGCTGCGAGGCCGCGGCTCCCTGAGCGTGTTTGTGCTCCTGCTGCTTCACCTGCTGCACGATTTCCCTGATCTTGCGCTGCGCCGTCTGCGGGAGGGCGAGAAACGGGGGTACAGCAGAACTGAGCGCGACAGCACCGCAGCTTTTAACGCCAGGCCAAGCATGGAAGTGATCCTTTAGCATGTGAGGATGTGCTAAAGCAAGGGTTTGGCTTGTTCTTCCATCCCTCAAGATTTTGGGGTATCACCGTGCCCTCGCACTCATGAACCCAGCCTGGTTAGATGCACCCAAGTGGGATGCAGGAGCCATTCCCACCCCGTGTCCAAGGCACAGATTTTTGGCTGAATTGAGCCAATCTTTAATTTCACCTTAGGTGCACAGAAACCACTCAGAGCAGCTCAGGGGACGCTGTGCTTGGCAGCTTTCCTCAAACTGGGAATGCTGGGAGAGCCATGGCCAAACCTTACCTGACTGGCAAAGAAATGCCCAATGATTTTGACGACGACCTCCTCGTTCTCATCTGGGGTTTGGTCTCGCGGCACAATGACTTCTGCGCTCGTTAAGTTCTGTAGTTCGTTCACCTGGAGCGAATGACAGAGATCCAGGGTTTGCTGGGGAAGAGCCAAAACCCTTCTCTGCTGGTGCCACCCCAGCTCTGAGGCAGGACGTGGCAGCAGGCTGCTGTGGCTCACACCCTGTCCCCTCGGGATGGCTGCCACCCAAGAGCCACCCCCAGGACACGGGGCTGGGACCGAGACATCACTGATACCACAGCACCCAGAGGTGATGGCATGGACAGGGCATGGATAGGGGATGGAGAGAGGATGTCCAGCTCTCTGTTCCCAGGCAGGTGGGACCACACACACCCCACCTACCGTCTTGCCACCTTTGCCGATGACGCGGCCGGCGGCGAAGGAAGGCACCTTGATGTGTGCTTCGAGCTTCACTTCTTCTTTCGGGTTGAAGAAGTTTTCTTCTTTCAGCTTCCCAAATATTCGCCCCTGAGCCTGGAGAGGGTACAAAAGGGACATAGAGATGGTGGTGGGCATGCTGGAGGTGGCCTGCTGTGCCCTTCATTCCTACAGGCAATGATGTGCCAATGTCTGGCAGCACCAACCGCGGTCCCAAACTCAGAAGCCCCCCTGGCACGGTGGGCCCTCTCACCTTGTCCCTACCCATGTCCCCAAGCCAGCCCCCACCCTGTGGCCACCGCACCTTGAACTGAGCCTCGGGTGGCCCCGTGATGATCACCATGCGCTCGCTGGCATCCGGACCTTCCGCCGGGGCGATCTGCGCGGGACAGGGAAGGAGTGTGAGTGTGACCCCTCCTCGGGCAAAACCTCCCCTGTGTGGGATGTGTCCCCATGCAGGGACACCTCCCTGCCCAAGCCATGGTGACAATCAGGATGCTGTAGGTCTGGGTTTCTACTCATATGGGGAGCAAAACCATTCACCAAGTTCTCTGTCCTCAGCAGTGGGAAAGGGAAACTGAGGCACAAAGCCCTGACCCAGCCCCTCATTCCCACTCACCTTGATGGAGGCGCCAGCAAACCGTGCCAGCTGCTTGATGTGCTGCCCCTTCTTCCCGATGATGGCCCCCACTGCCTGTGTTGGGATGAACAAGTTCACAACCTCCTGCTCCGGCAGCTGGAAAGGGCGGGGAAGAGCCAGAGGGTCAGGGAACAGCTGCACCAGGGGGTTGCTTCCCCCTGCCAGCATTCCAGGCCTGAAGAGGTGGTGGGCTGGGTTGGGCTGTGGTCCCGACACACATTCCCTGCTCTTTGCCTGCCCTCCCAAAAGGTGCCCAAGGGAAGACCTCATGGCAGGAGGTGCCAGGGCACTTTTGGGGAAAGGAAACTTACGGGGTGCTGATGGGGGAAGGCGCCAGCTGGGGGGGCTCCATACAGACTCGACAGATAGGCTGAGGAGCCCTGCGGTGGGAGTGAAAATGAGGGTCAGTGACATCAATGATGTCCTCAAGGAGCCTGCCCCTTCCCAAACACCCCCACCCCGACATGGGGAGTGTGTCACCATCACGAGTGACACGAGGGACACAGTGACCACCCCTCATCCCCAGAAACCCCTCCAGGAGTATGCAGGCTCATCCAAGGATGAGCTGCACCCCCAGATCCTCTGCCTATGGCACAGCACAAGGCTGGGATGGGGATGGGAGCTCCCAGTTAACCCCAGTCCTTCTCCACTTCTTTTTTGGCTTTGTCCTGTTCATGTATGTGCCAGAAAAAAAGGTTCCCTTCTGGCCTCACCAGGGAGCTTGAAAAGGGCCACACAAAGCTTTGGGGTGAAGGACCCCACAACAAACACTGCCCCTCAGGAGACCTGTCCTGACCTCTCCATCACACCCATAAATAATTCCCAAAGGCTGTGGATACAGGCACAGCACCCCCCCTGCACAGGCTGAGAGTGACCAACCAACCCTCTTGGAGCCCTCCAGAGCCACCACACGCCCCCCACATCCTCCCAGGCACTCACCGTCCTCCTCCTCCCACTCTGCTGCTGGCATTCCAGGGAAAGAAAACAGCACAGGTAAATTAACCCACAGCTCAGAATAAATTATTTAGGGACTAATGGAGGCAGCTCACAGCACCTGAGTGACCTGGGATGCACCTTCTCCACCAGCACCTTGGCCATCCTGCTCTCCTGGCACTGCACCATCCCTGTCCTTCGTCACCTCAGGGGTTGTGAACATCCTTGCCCAGGTTGCAGCACCCCAAGAACAAGGAGAACCCTCCCCTGTGAGGTGGGGTGGAGACTGGTTCCCCACAAGCACAGCCCCTGGGGTGCCAGGGCAGGATCCCTGCTGATAGCAGTGGATGCACAGGGTGGGCTGCTTGC